TCAAGTAGGGGAGGGTGTAGAGAACCATAGCCAGATGCATAACTCAGTCTTAAACATTTAACTTTCCTTCTCTTGAAAGGTTGAATAACCCATTCTTGCCTCAAACAAATAGGCTGCAGCCAAAGATGGCCCCATCTGCAATATCAGGTATGTGCAAGCGTTACCTTTTTGGTGCAGTTTTTCATTGGTTATGCTAACTTCACTTTATGCAGACAAAGGCTAATTTTACTTGTCACTTTATGAGCATGATGGCAAATAAGCATTGGCAACTATATTTCATTGTGTTTCTGAAGGGTTAAAACCTAGATTAAGCTCGTCGATATTACTCTTTGAAATGCTGTTTGGACTGCTTTTGTCAGTGCTATCTGTATGTTCTTTCCTGTAAAAACACAGAATTCTTGAGCCAGTCACAGATCCTTCTGATCCTTACTAAAAGCTTTTCTTCTTGAAACAATGCCTGACATCGTTGAGATTGTCCTATAAAAGTCATCCTAGCATCTCACAGCAGTTAACACTCAAAAGTCGTTTTTAAAAAAGTCTGAAGAGTAGCCTTGGAACAAGTCACAGAGGCTCGGTTTCACACACAGTGCCTGGGTACTGCAATATAAATCCACCACTTGAACAAAATCAGCCGGAATCTTAAAAAGCTCTAGACCATATAATGAAGGAAAATAGATAAAATAAGCACCGAATGCAAAGGGTAAGCAGAAGTACTTTTGCTTTTAGGCCCTGCACATCTCTTTAGGCTTGCTGGCAAGTGTTTCAGTTTTGTGGAATCCACGTGAGTAATGGATTTGGATATTTGATTCTATATATTTGTTAAGAATGAGCTAGGTTTTGATTTCAGCCTGAAACTTTTCTTTTTTTTCTTTCTTTTAAGGTACAAGTATGAGTTTTGTCCTTTCCATAATGTCACTCAGCATGAGCAGACTTTTCGATGGAATGCCTATAGCGGGATTTTGGGGTGAGGCTTTTAGAGCTTTCAGTTTTATCTGTGTTATTAGCAGACCATTTTATGGATTGTCAGAAAGGGGCAGTTTTAAAATTAAGATTCTTTTATTGGTCAGCTTAGGCCATTATAGTTCCCAAGACATTATGCATAAAAATACCTCGTCTTGAAAAATTCAGATCTTTTTGTTGTTAATAAATACTAGCTTCCTATTTTAGCTGGAAACTGATTAATAATCAGTGCTAACTGCAGGTGTGGTATGTTCATGTGAGAAAGTCATTCTGTAACTACAGCTCATATTAACAAAGATTTCATGTCTGTTAACTATTTTCACTTTGAGTTGAACATAACCTAACAGAATGAAATGTGCTTTATGCCTAGCAGTTGTGTTAAACATTTTTAATAAAAGGTAATAAAAGACTTGGTGTAGACCCAAAAAAGCATCCTAAATTATTAAAAGACTCCAAAGTATCCAAATCGTAAGACACAAAATAAATTTAATTATAAATCAGAGCACTGCTTTAAAATTTTACTGCCTTTGTAAGCATTTTGTATACGGATGTCTCTTTTTTTCCTATGCGCACAATAATTAGTGAGTCAATACGAGAGGAAAAGGGTACATCAAGATGCTGAGAGCATTATAGGCTTTAGGACTAGGAGAAGAGACTAGTTTTTTTAGGTGCTCTCACCAACACTAAAAATCCTGCAGACAATCCAAGTTGTGCAGGTTAGGGTTAGGTTAGGCTAATATCATAGAATTTGTTGAGGGGTTGATCTATAAGCTGTATTTTATTGGATTTAAACTCAGATTTGTAAGTGTAAATGGTTTGCAGACTGAATGCAGATCCAAAACTGTGCTCTCAAAGTAATGCTGATGTGCCCTGCATAGAAGCCTGGATAACTGACTACACTGTTTATGAAGTCTTGGCTGTAAGAAATGGAAACACTGAGACAAAAAAAAAATTGAAGTGTGTGTATATATAGCTAAATTTAACATGGTGTAGGAGTATTCCTGATTTTCTTCCTTGATTTTCACCTTTGTCTTTCCATTGACTTAAAATAAAAGGATGTCCTGTTTTTTTTCAGTATCTGGCATGAATGGGAGATTGACAACAACACATTTCTTGGAATGTGGATGAGGGAGGGAGACTCATGTGAAACTAAGAGCAGACAGACAAAGGTATAATTTAGACTATGCTAATTCAGACACCATGACTCTACACACATTTATGACACTCTGCAGACTGAACCATGCTTACCTTGAAGAAGTCATCACTTGAGATGTGAAAACATAAAGGTGAATTCCTGTAGGTGTAGCTAGGTGAATGCATGGAAGAGGTAAGCTAAAATCAGGATAAAATTTTTGAGAAGTTTACTCATTGGTTACTTTTAACTCTTTTTTTTTTTTTTTTCCCCTTGATAGATTGGAATATTCTGGTAATATCGTTACTGTGGAAACATACAGTGCTTTGTAATTTGTGTAAAGAAAAATAAAGAGCTCTTTGTTGTGTGCTAAGAACATCCAGGAAAAAGGAGAGAAAATAATTGAGCAGTTAACACAGCACACTGAGAAGCTAATTAAGGTGTTAAAACAAGAGCAGAGGGCATGCAAGAAGAATTATGGTAGGGATCAAATATATGGGAGTGGTAGAGGAACCAGCTCAAGAGAATTGGGTTCCGGTGTGAGTACATTTTAAAAAAAAATCTAAAATTCTTACTTTGTGAAGTGGTTAAAATGTTCCATTCCACATTCAGTCTTTGTGCCAAGTAACTGTATTCAACTAGAAGGGTAAGGAAGGGCGACTGAGATTTGCCCAATATGACACGAGATTTGCACACATCCTCTATCCTTTTATTCATTAATATTTTTTGTTTTCCACCACCCATTTCACTGTGTTATATGGTTATACAGATATAATGAAGTGTCACATTCCCTGGTGGTGTAGATTGCTATTGTGAGAAGAGTTAAAGATATTGTGTAGTTCACAGCAGGCGGCTTTTCACGTAGAAGATGCTTAGCTGTTAGAACGATGGATGACAATACAGTACTGAAGAGAGAGGGATATGTAGCTGGCATAATAACTAATGTGAAGATGGGATAAGGGACAAAAATATCTTGGCCAAGATCAAAACACTGTACTGTAATGGAGGTGCCTTGTTAACATTTTTATCTCCCATAGGAACTGCAGAAAGAATGATTATTCTTGTATGACCTTTGATATCATAAGTCAAATCTTTCACTGGCATTTAGTTTTGAGCAGACAGAAAACACTGGTGCTGCCAGTTTCAAGATGAAGACAAATTTCTACAAGCTAGATGCATGTTGTTCTCTTTATTTAGCACATTGGCTGGAACTAAAATTTGTTAAGTGTGCTACACTTATGTCGGATAAGGTTCTAAAGTGTGTCCTATTCACCCGCCTTTTTCTCACCTTGCTGGAAACATGCTTGGGAGTCCAAGGACAGTGATAGGTGAGGGGATGGTTTCCAATTAGAGAAAGCAATTTTTGCTTTTGATAAAGTAATTTGAAATTGTAAAGTGATGTGTTTGCTATGATTCTTTTCTTGTGGGTGACAGCATTGGAAGCTTTGACTTGACAGCATGTACAGAAATGCATCTGCTAGGACTGGAAGACAACAAATTGATCATCAATGCTGGTCATGTTGTATGTAGAGATTTTTCACTTATCTTTGTTTTTACTGATGTATAGGTTCATCTTGTTTGTGGAAAGAGCAATAAATTGGCTTACGTTTCTGAGCCAAGTACTTGTGTTTACTCTCTGACATTTGAGACTCCTCTTGTGTGCCACCCCCATGCTCTGTTAGGTAAGATGTAGAAAATTGTGTGTGTGGAGCAGCTGGCATATTATGCCAACCTCAGGGTGTAAATTTTTAGGTTGAGTTTGTAAATTGATATAAATGAGTACTAAATATAGGAAGTGTGGTTTAAATCCCAATCATTCCAACATACAGGTATTTCTCAAAAAAGTAGTCACTGTTAGTATAGACTTGATGAGTGATTTTGTTTGTTTGTTTTTCTTGGTCATAGGAATCAGCCCTGTAGCGTCTGCTCATTTGCTTACATTACAAAAAGGGAGAGCTCAGAATTACATTCAACAAAGAAATATGAGGCCTTCTAGATGGAAATAAGAGGAAAAAAATTGGTTTCTGGCATTCTCCAGAAACTTCAAATATGTGAAGTGGAATTTAAGTTTAACCTCAAATCTTGAAAGCAGTACAGACTGTGTACTGTATAGAAATCCTGAGTTATTAAAACAAATATGCTTGCCTGCTACTAGAGGAGCATTTAACTAATGCAGGACAGTGCTGTTGGTTTTTATGTGGCTTGACTTTGATTTTTTCAGTTTATCCGACTCTGACTGAAGCCCTGCAGAGGAAGTGGGATGAAGCAGAGCAGCTTCTCTATGATGAACTAATAACTGAGCAGGTATATTAATTTCTTCCAACTCGATTTGTTAAAGATCAATTACTGTTCAAATAGCCAAACCTGGCTTCTGCAGTTGCTCGTTTCGGAATGGATGCATTTATGTAGCAGTTGGCAAATAATAATTTTTGTGCTCTGTAACTGCTCTATCAACTGCTAATTGTAGTATTTTCTACAGTGAAGCTTGATGAATTGAAATGGCCAGTGCAAATTAAAGGCAGAGATGAGAGTTGGGTGGATTGACCTGGGCTGGGGCAACCAATGTTATCAATATAGGCTGGGAGAGGACATGGTAGAGAGCAGCCCTGTAGAAAAAGAGTGGGGAGTACTAGTAGATGAAGAAAAGCTGGACACGAGCCACCAATGCGCAGTGGCAGCCCAGAAGGCTGGTTGCATTCTGGGCCACGTCAAAAGCAGTGTGGCCAGCAGAACGAGAGAGGTGATCCCACCCCTCTATTCTGCCCTGGTGAGACCTCACCTGGAGTCTGTGTCCAGCTCTGGAGCCCCCAAGACAATAAGGGCATGAACTTGTTGGAGTGTGTCCAGAGGAGAGCCACGAGAATGTTTAGGGGGCTGGAGCACTTCTGTGAAGCCAGGCTGAGAGAGTTGGGGTTGTTCAGCCTGGAGAGGGCTCTGGGGGGGACTTTACAGCAACATTCAAGTACATGAAAGAGGCCTAAAAGAAGTCAGGGAAAGATCTGTTCTCAATGGTTGGTAGTGACAGGACATGAGGTAATGGTTTTAAGCTAGAA